CCAGCAAAGCTCTCAACGAAATACTAGTGCAGCATAATAAGGAATGCCACGGTTTGCCTGAATTTACTTCTATACAGCTCTACCTTCCTCTACTAGCTCGCTCGCCGTTGATGAGCCGACCACTACCGAGTTTAGCCAGCGATGTACTTCGATTTCCAGTGCACACCTTTGAAATATTGGTAGCAAAAAATGACTTAGTGAGGTTCGAACTCACGCGTAATCTAACACTTGTCCTACGACGGTTACCTTGACCGCTCGGCTAAATACCAAGTGTATGTCAAGACGAAGCTCAAATGATATCATGGCGAACTTTTGAAATGGGTGCGGGTGTATTTTTATTGAAAAACTCAGCCAATCAAATCGAATGAGTTCAGTAATATCCTCACAACCAGCTTTCCCGTGGAGTGAGGATATTTTGGCTTGACTTGATTAAAGTAACGCCACTCTGTATCCGGACGGGCTGAGTGAGGAGTATCCTCACTATTAGACAGATTTCGAAAACGGTGCCGTGGATTTGCCGTGCCCTAACTTTTTACAGCACGGCAAGTCCACGGCAGTAGACTCATTAGACAGATTTCGGAGTGGATTGCCGTGCATTTGGCACCTGTTAAATTTCATGTGGCAAGCCGTGAAATTGTCCAAATTCACGGCAGCCTGTACTCTGTCTGTAAATCCCAACAGCCAGGGCATGTCCGAGGAAGGTAGCGAAGGAGTGGAGGTACACGAGAAGAAGTGGTGGACGGAGGAAGAAGACAAGATTCTACTGACCCAAATCAATAACACGAGGCCCTTTCTGCAACGGAAGGGCACGCGCAAAGCATGGGACACCATGGCCGCGACGCTAAAAGACGTGGACGGCTTCACTCGGCCAGGCATCGACGGTAAGAAGGCGCAGAACAGGTTCCTTCGCCTCGTTCGCCGGCACAAGTCCAACAACAATGAGGCGGCCCGGCTTTCAGGCGCCACAGAAGACGAGACCCCCAAGAGCCGCCTCCTCGATGACCTCGTGCCCCTCTACAACGACGCTGCGACGAAAAAGAGGGCGGCCACGCCACTGTCGGAGGCTGACGAAAAAGCCGCGAGTATCAAGTTCATTCGGGAGCAAGCCATGCTGCGCGGGAAGCGCAAATCGTTGGAGTCGAGTGACGGCTCCGACGTTGGAGGCCTCAGCAAGAAGAAATTGATTTTAGAAGCTCAAGACAAGGAAGTTGAGCTCTAGAAAGAAAGGCTTGCGTTCAAGAAGCTCAAGTTCGAGCGCGAGAAAGACCGGGCCGAAAGAGAGCTGGAGCGACAGGAGCGCCAGCAAATTCGAGATATCGAGAGCCGCCGTAACGATGAGATGATGCGAATCATTAGACATTTCATTGATAAGTCCTAAGATGTATATTCCATGTTATACTTTTACCAAATACTCCTTGAGAGCTGGTGGTTTTATGTTGAAGTAAACACTAGTTTGGTTTCCGCCGAAATAGCACGTCTGACAATTCGTAAAAAACATTGCCAGGCAAATTGTTTTTCCAACGCTCTGCAACAATATTTTTTGTTGCATCTTGTACGTCACAAATGCCCACTGCGACTTCATTTGACAGAAGCTCCACTCCACAGATTCGCGAACGCGACTCATTGATGCGTTGAATTCTTACATTCGCGGATCGTTCAATGGTCCCTTGTAGCCGCTGCACACCCACGGAAGTACACCATATGCAGGGTCACCATAGATAAGAGAATTGCCAAACGTTGCTGCATGATGATCCATGTAGTCCATCAACTTGCTTTCCCACAACAAAGTTGTGTCGTGGCGTGAGCCCTCAATCGGCCCCCAAAAGTGAACACACAAACCGTCGGGTGCTGTGATTGCTTGGAAGTTCAGGCAGTGACGACGTTTATGCCACTGTAGATGAGACGCTGGAGATCACCATACTGATGAGCGTCGGACGTCGTACGATTGCGTTTTTGAGAGATTCGGCATGTTTCCAGTTTCGAGCCAAGGGAATTGAAAATGCGGCAGAGCGATTCACGTGAGCGACCAAACGACGCCATCATGTCGTAGAAACGGCGAGGATACGTCATTCGATTGAGCAAAATACACAGAGCGTCAATGCCAAGGCAACGGTCTCCCATGGTGGTCAACAGAACATTGGGGACACCCAAAAGTTCACACAACTCCATGATCCCAGCCGAGTCGAAGCGGAACTTCAACACACAGTCAGCGTTCGTGAGTTTGGCCAAGTCAAACCGGCCCTCCGGAACAAGTGGTCGCTCAACAGCACACAAGAGGATGCGCAACAGACGCATGCGACGGCGAAAGGGGTATTTGCGTCGTTGGCGCATGAACTCGCCTAGTTCGACCACGGTCAACATTCGGAGGTTTCGAGATGGCTGCTGGATGTAATTGTTCGGATAATTACCGGATACAGCAGATACATTCGAAATCAATATTGTCGACAAAGACTTAACGTAACTAGTTAAACCGTATATCGGTCTGCTGAGCGGGTAAAAGGTGGAGGCCGTGGTACTGGATGGACCTGGCACTACCGTACGTGAGATGCGGGAAAATGTCGAAGTGTCAGTCGAGGTGCTTCGGTCCTAACGTGATGGGTTAAACCTATTGCCAATACTTACATTGCGTGGGGATACAACCGATTCGAGTGCAAACTTCCTTCGTGATGTAACTCCTGCACCTCGATATAAATAACCGACCACCGTTGATGGATGTCGGCGGCATGTCCCATCGCCCGATGAAGACGAAGGTCCAGGCATTGCAGCCAACCACCGCCGCAGTACCACGCAAGTCAACTCCCATTCAAGTACCCTAGACGCCAAGCAGCAAGCGGCAGTCGCTGTCCTCGCAAAAGCCGCCGGCCCCGTGTTCGCCAAGCCGTATAAAGGCGACCTTTTTGGCACTCGCACTAACAGCATCGACGGCATGCTCTACCTCTCGCGCATCACGGTTAAGGACCAGCTCAAGAACAACGTGCCCACGACCCTGCATGCCGCCCCCGTGAACACGGCACTCCCCAAGCATCTCGACAGTCCCGCCCAGGACATCAACGAGGTCGGGTACCGCACCAAGAAACGGCAGTGTGCCAAGACGTTCGAGCGCATGATCTACTCGCGCCTGTCACCGGCGTCATCCAGTGAATTTGGGGCACCCACTCCCAAGGACAAGGGCATGAAGTCGCTTCTCGACAACGGCATCGTACCGGCTCTCGTCTCCCTTGCGGCGGTCCCCGACACTCAAACGCAACTGCATTGTGCCAAAGCCTTCTACGGGCTCGCCCAAGTGCCTTGCACGCGCCGCCTCCTCGTGCTGAACAACATTGTCGGCACCATTTCGCTCCTCGTGCGTCATGGTGAGTTCCATCATCCTGGTCGTTCTGACCTTTGGTGTAGGCGACGCCATCCGCAGCAAGTTTAAGCAAGACCTGGCGGCGATAGTTGGGCACATCACCGAGGAGAGCTTCCTCGAAGACAAGCTGCTCCACGACGGCGTGGATCGGGTGCTCGTGAAGCTCTACCACGGCCACAACGCCGAGACGAAGCGGCTCGTCGCGCTCTCGTTCTTCAACCTGTCGCACAACTCGAGCCAGCTCAAGCACTTCATCGACGTGTTCACGCAGTGCATCACGAGTGTGTGCAAGACCATGAGCCCGGCGTCGCATCCGTCCAAGGCCACGCTCTTGCTCTTGCAGGCGCTGTTCAACCTCACCCAGACCCAGTCGTTCCACAACGCCCTCATGGCCGAGAACGTCCACCGGGTGCTGTCGCTGCCCCTCGCCCACTTTTGCAAGTGCCACCAGCACAAAATACGCCCCACCGAGTCGGTCGAAGACGACTCGATTGAGTTTGGCCTCAAGGGTACTACTACTCCAGTCATCTCCACCCCTATTTTGTGGGTATTTCCTTGTGATTCTAGGGCTGTTTATGCTCGCGGCCACCAAGAACGGCCGACAGCACATTGTACAGGATGGATTGATTCCAAACATCGTCGCATGCTTGGTGCTTGGAGGTAGCATAGGCACTTTCGAGAGGATAACACAATGCAGCATTAAGCGGTTCGTCCGTTCGTCGTAGGCGTTGTGGCCGACACTGTGTGCATCATCCTGTACCAGCTGTCGATGGACGAGACCTGTCGGGATGCGGTGGTTCATGACCTGGCGGCCGTCGTGGACAACATCGTCCACTGCTCGTCGTACGGGTACTTCACCGTGTCGTGGGTGCTTCGGCACTTGTGCGCCACCAAAGCCAACTTCCCCGCGCTTGTCGACGCCGGTGTCGTGCCCGTGCTCATGCAAATGTCTCGCGACTCGCACGACGAGGTCAAACTCAACGGCATCAGCTGCATGTGCTGTCTGCTGCAGTGCGACCTCCGTCTCAACAACGCCCTCACGTGCATGGAGCGCATCATTCTGGACCTGGTGCAGCTGCTCCAGTCCGACGTCGAGTCCATCGTGGTCTTTGCCATCACGGCGCTGTTCAACTTGGCGTGCAATGACACCCTCACCCCGTTCCTCTCGGCGCCGTCCACGGGCGTCGTGCTCTCCCTCAAGGACCTCCTCCATCGTCACCCCTCGGAGAAACTCACGACGGTCCTCCTCCCGCTGGTCTACCAGCTCGCCCCCACCACCCGAGCGCTCATGCTGCAGTCGGGTTTCTTTGACTTCGTCGCAGGCGCCATATCGACCACCACCGGACCCGCTCGCCACGCCGCATTGGACACGTTCGTCGCGTCAACGTCTTCTTCTCATTTAACCGTATGTGATGGGTAGGATGGTGCAGTTTACACTGGAAGCGGAGGCGTTCCCCCAAGGAACGGAGGACGTCCGGAGCCTCGTCAAGGCGCTGTACACCCTCAAAACCAACAACGACACGATCGCCCTCCGGTCCTGCGTCTCGCTCCTGGCGCACCTCACGACGTCCCCCAAGAACCGCGACCTGCTGCTCAAGACCGGCTGCGCTGTGTGCCTCGCGCGCATCTGCAACACCGCGGACGACTTCATCATGGCCAACTGCGCGTACATCCTGTTCTGCTTCACCGAGACCCTGGACGCCGTGGAGGTGATCGTGCGCGAGGAGGCCATCCCCGTGCTCATCCAGCTGAGCCGCGCCTCCAACGACACTGTCAAGGAGCTGTGCATTTTGAGCTTTTGCCGTATTTCTGCGCATGGTAACAACATGGAGACCAAGCTCGTCGAGCAAGGCGCGATCGCGGCGGCCATGATCATGGCGCTGGTCGCGACCAAAAGCGACCAGATCAAAACGTTGTGCGTGAAGATCATCTCCAACTGCCTCTCTCTCCAAGCCAAGCACTGCACGCGCACCATGATCGACCACGGCGTGTTCTGGGCCCTCAGGTACACATATGTCGGATTCACATCAACACATATTTGATATCGATACGGTTAGCTCGCTGTCGACTCTGCCGTTTGCCGACACTAAGCACGCGTGTGCCACATGCTTCTGTAACCTGTCGGCGGCGTACCCGCTCAAGATGGTCGAGGCGGGGGTCCCCCGGGCACTCGTGCAGGTCGTCGAAACGGGCGACGGCCCAACCATCGTCATTGCGCTCGAGGCGATTGCCAACCTCCTCCACAACGACAAGGTATGTCCATGCCTACCTGTTCCATTTCCATGTGTTAGGATGTCTGTTAGGCGTGTGGCATTCTCGTGAACGAAGGCATCGTCAAGATCTTGCGGCGACTGGTCGAAGACACGAACGAAACGGTGTCTCATGCCGCGGCCATGGTGCTTCTCAAAACGTCCCGCGCCGACGACAGGTGCCGCGTGGAAAGTCTCCGGAGCGGCCTCGTGCCGTGGATGCGCTCCGTGCTGCACAACGACGTGCTGGCAACCCAGAGCCTCATCACGCTCTGCGATTGCACGGCCAACGCCGCCGCCCAAGGCCACGTCCATCCGCTGCATGTGATCGACATTCTCCGCGCGGCGGTCCCTTCGTCTCATCCACACCGCATGAGCTTATGCCTGCAAGCACTGTACAACATGACGTGCCAGCCCTCCAAACTGCTCGAGCTCGTGCACGCCGGCGCGCACTTGTTCTTGCAACAAGGGGTGCACACCGACGACACGGTACGACAGCCGTCCTCCTACTCGATACAAGAACCATCCCCCCCCACACATAAACACTTCGTTCTCGTAGACTTTGAGTGTCATGTCACTGTACAACTTGACGTGTGTGCTGGACGAAGGCGCGCTGTCGGCGCTCGTGGCCAGTGGACTCACGCGGCTACTTCATGACACATACCTCCTCGATATCGAAAAGCCGTGGTGCGTGCTGTCCATCTGCAACCTGGCGCTGGGAAAAGTGAACTCGTCGCGTATTGTCATGGAGAACGGTGGGGTCGTCCTCGTCGACTTTGTTCAGTCCACCGCGTTCACGAACGACTCGTCGGGGCTCTTGAAGCCACCGATGATTGCCCACACCGTCTCGGCCGCGTTTCGCAAGCTAATCAACCCCCCTGGGAACCAAAAGGTGGGCGTTTCTATTTCGACTTAACTGACGCCGACGACCCATAAATTAGGCCATGGTGGAGCTGGGGGTCGTGCGCTCGTTCGTGCGACTTCTGAACGACCCCGCGGCCGCGTACGCCGTCCGCATCAACTGCTTGGAATCCCTTGCCATCCTCACGCGCAACAAAGACCACATATGGCGCAGCCTCGCCGACGGATTGCTTCTGTGTATCCTCGACATTGTCGACCGCAACGAAGCGGAGCCTGACGCGGCCGTGGGGGCCCATTGCTTCACGGTGCTCTCGAATCTCTGCGCCGTGGACTTCGACGCCGCCGCGTCGCCCGCGCATCACAACGTCCGCACCCATGCCAATGTGATCGCGTACTTGACGCAGCTGTCCGAGTACAGCACTGCGAAACAAAATTCCTCCGTCATGGATGTTGTGGTACCGAGCCGAGAGCGACCGCAGGTGCAAACCAAGTTCCTCGCGGCGCTTCCGCCCTGTATCGCCGGCCACAGCGCACATGTGTCCCCGACATACTCGGTGCCATGGGAAAAGTGTTTTGCAGACAATAGACCCAGCCTCCCGCCGCCCATTGGAAGTGTGTGGTCGCCTGTGAACATCGCCGTCTTTACCAAGAACCTGCCTGACTCGTTCAAGCTGCCACGATACGAGATTCTCGAAAAGGTGCCGCTGATTCGGGATTATGGTGATACGAGCGAAGCCGCGCACAAGTATGTCGTTGGCATCAAGGGACTGGTGAGACTGCAAGTACACGCGCACAGCCAGGCCATGCTCGGTCTCCGGCGGAAGAAATTTGCAGCGACGAACCATATTGAGGATCTGAAGGATGCGATGGAGGTATCTGTAGCTCGTCCGTTGAGTGGCAATACGCGCAAGGAGGTGGTCACATCCAAGCAGGCGGTGCTGATGAACCCCTTGAATCGGTTAAGGGACAAGCGGTCGTCGTCGCTTAAGTATTTAGTCCAAAATTGAAAGATCGGGTCATGATAAACCAATAGCCAATCATCTTGCGCTAATTGAGGCACCTTCGATTTGATTGGTTGATGATTGCACCAAACTGCCTACTGAACACTCTTTCGACGCTGACAAGTCGCAGGCAGGCAGGCAGGCATGAGCATTCCCCACACTCCATTGAACAGTCCTATGCGCAAAAGCAAGAGCATGAACGACATGACCACTAGTCGGATGCTGTGGCCTTCAGCGGACGAGTCCTTCTTCACGCGATGCCTCCCTTCCCTGCCCATGGTACGCCATGCATGGATGGAATCACCAGCCCGCTTCACCATGCATGTAGATTCGGACGCCAGCCACGTACACCCCCACACACAACACCGATCCTCCTCCACAACAAGGTACTAACTGCGTCTCGTGTGGCACCAGCTAATGACTTTCGATGATGGCAGTGATCACGAGCGAACCGCTGCACAGTCTCCTGCGACTCTTCTACCGCACAGCCGACGCAAAGGTCTGTACCTGCAACCAGAAGGTTGACATGCATCTCTCATCGATATCATGTACGGCAGTTGAAGCGCGACCTCACAGACCAAGTGCCCGTCGACCGACCAAACAAGGTCCCGCGCACGGCCTAGCGCGGAACTATATTATTCCTAACCATTGCTTAAAAACTCGTCTAATTCTGCGTCGGGGTGACTCAGCTGGTCGGTCCAATGCAGAAACGAGTTCAACTCGTCTTCGTCCAGGGAATCTTCGTCCACCTCTGGCTGTGCGGAGGTTGATAGGGTCGTCTCAATCGTCGGTAAGTGCACCGGCGGTGGGCGGACGGATGCTGCGGGAGGTCCCAGTGGAATCGCATGGGATGCTGCCACGGGGAGTGTCACTGGCGGCAGTCGGGTCTCTTCTCGACGGGAGGTGGTTGCGTTGGGGGGGGGTTCGACAGGGACCGACGCAGGCGCAGTCCATCGCTGCTTTCTTCTTGCAACCTCATCGATGCTTGTGATCACGGGGGCCTTTGGTTTCTTCTTCGTAGGTGCTTTATGAGGTTGTTTCTTTGTAGGTGCTACGACAACATCGCCTGGCTCGTGGTTGGGCAGGTCTTGGTTGCTCGGGATGGAGCGACCTGTGAGGAGCGACCTCCTGCTCTTCCGATGTGTAGCGGGTGGAGTGGCTTCTTTGCTTCGGTTCGCTAAGAGCATCGCAGGGAGCTTGGACAGAATTGGCTCCATCATTTGGCGGATGCTACAATCCGTGGCAACACCCATGAGGACGACAACTGCAATTATACATCATTCTAACGCACCATTCCTCGTCGCCTTGTCCGATGATGGTGGACTTCAGATGGTCTTCCCATTCCTTCCGCAGCTTCTGGACAGCTGCATCTTGGATCTTGGCGAGCTTGTACTCTTGCCACGGACCGATGTACATCGCACGTGGCAGGGAGTACTGATTCGGTTTCTTTCAGTTACAGTCCAGTGATTAGTATTACTAGAACGGTTCTACTAGTAGTAGTGAAATTAAACGCCTACGTTTAATATTCAGAACGCTTGGATTTAAAGCTTCAATACACCCACTCCACTGGCCATTTTTTTTAGGTATTACTGGTATTTGACAGCGCCTTTGACAGACCCAATAGTGATACTACCGGTACCGCCAGACAAAATGCTCATTATATTGAGACCGAGTATACAGAAACTTCCTGCAACAATGCTTTAAAGGCTGCGATGGCAGTGCATTTGTACGGTTGTACTGGTCCAGCGACATACATATGTAGAATCTCAATGATGGATAAACGCGTTAAACGATGTAGTAATCTCCACCGAGGGTTTTCATTGGCTGGATTGATTAATACTAATTCCTGAGGACGTATACAATAAGCAAGGTGCGTTTAATATGATTTGATTTAAACAGTTTGTAGAACTAACTGCATACTGCAGGACATTCATTTTCTGCCCGCCAGACGGAGATCACACGCCTCCGCCATGACGCCGTCCACTGCCATCCTGCGAGGGCTACAGAAGGGCGAAAATCCCAACGCCAACTTCTTCTTCTACGCCTCCATCCTCATCATGTTCGTGTCATGTGGGCTCTACAACTTCTTCTTCAAGCGACGGCTGGAAGCCCAATTGCTCGCGCAACATCAAGCAAGTCAGGAACAGGTGTACCGACAGGACGTGATTGCAAGCGACCAAGGCATGGAGAATCTCTGGGCGTGCGACGTGTGCGACTTTAAGAACTACGACGGACACAAGACGTGCATCCTCTGCGGTACGGAGCGCGACTTCACGTTGTACGGGAAGGCGTCGTCCAAACGAAGTTCTGGGAACGACGACGGCGCCAAGACGGCTATGCCGTCGTCGCTGTCCCCGACCAACTTTGTGCTCATGAACGACTCGACGCCCCGCACGATCAAGAAGAATCGAAACTTTGCAAAACTCCGTCTGAACAACTTGAACATTCGACAGAAAGGCGCGCGGCGGCGCCACGACTGGGTACGCAACGTGGACGAGGCGAGCGGGGACATTGTGTGGGGTCGGAACCGCGACGTGTTGGACCACAAGGTTCTGAAGCGCATCGTGGCCAAGGACACGCGAGGGCATCCCCATCTTCCGAACGACGACGGGGACTTTGACCTGCCCATGCTGCGGGACTCGGTGTCGAGCGTGAGTTCCGCGGGCAGCGTCGCGAGTGTGGGGTACGTGAGCAAGTTGGTGCTGACCCCCAAGCACCCCGAAGGGCGCATGTCGTTCGAGACGGCGGAGGGGCAGACGGCGTTCCAGACGGTGAACCCGACGGTGTTTTCGTCGGCGGACCTCAAGGACGTGTCCCAGCTCACGTTCCAGCAAAAGCACGCGTGGTTCGTCCAGTACACGTCGACGATGGAGGTGCCGTGGGAGTACGGCCACATGCTGCTCGAGATCGACCGCAGCAACTTGCTGCACAACTCGTGCGAGCAGCTGCTGTGGGCGTCGCACGACCAGCTGCACCAGTCTTTGCGCATCAAGTTTCTCAACGAGCCAGGCGTCGACGCCGGCGGGCTCGAGCGCGAATGGTTCACGCTCATGACGGAGGAGATCTTTGACGAGCGCACGGGGCTCTTCCACGCGGGCATGGACAACGCGTATATGATTCGCCCCACGTCCAGCGACGCGTCGGAGGACCACCTCATGGTATGCTCCATGTATGTATGATATAAAGTAATCGGAAACAACTTGGCAGTACTTTCAAGCGATCGGGCGGTTTGTGGGCCGGGGGCTGTTTGAAGGGATGCTGCTGGACGCGCACCTGGCGCTGCCTCTGTACAAGCACATCTTGGGGACGCCCATCACGTTCTCCGACTTGGAGTTTGTCGACGTGGAGCTGTACAACAACCTGCGGTGGCTCAAGCAAAACAAGGGCGTCGAGTCACTCTGCCTGGACTTTAGGTTCGAATCTATACACTGATAGATGGGATTGCTTTGACGATGTCATTGGGGTCTAGTGTGAACGTGGCGCAGGTGGACAAGGAGCCGCTCACGATCGACCTGTGCCCGAACGGCCGACACATTGCCGTCACGGACGACAACAAGGACGAGTACGTGTACCTGCGCTTCAAGTGGATCATGCTCACGAGCATCTCGCCGCAACTGGCGTCGCTGATCAAGGGCATCTACAGCGTCATTCCCCTCGAGATGCTGTCTGTGTTTGACCACCAAGAGCTGGAGCTGCTCATGTGCGGCATCCCTGACGTGAACGTGGACGACTGGAAGGCGCACACGACGTACATTGGCAACGACTGCGACCCCCAAGTGATCGAGTGGTTCTGGGACGTTGTCACAGACTTTACCACCGAGCAGCGCGCGCGGCTGCTGCAGTTCACGACCGGGTCGGCCCGAGTGCCGGTGCAGGGCTTCAAGACGCTCACCATGAACGACGGCCGCATCTGCCTCTTTGCGATCCAGGGCATCCGCAAGGAAGAGTGCTTGTACCCGCGGGCCCACACGTGCTTTAACCGCCTCGACCTGCCCATGTACTCGTCGAAAAAGGACCTGGAAACGGCGCTCACGATGGTCATCAAAATGGAAGTCACGGGGTTCACGATTGAGTAAAAACAACGAATCCATTTAGTTTGTACACTGTAATAAGTTACCCAAAGAGGAAACTATGGACACCTTTGCAGCGTGCAGTACGCCTATATACAGTACGTAGTACGACGGAGTCGTGCTGTTGGCCTCATCCAAACTACTGATGCCTGAAGTATTACAGTATCAAAATGACCCTACAAAGCCATCAAGAGGTGACGGTAATGTTGTGCTATTCACGAGATAAAGTCGCCAGTAGTTCGTCGCCACGTAAAGTTGAACGCGTCGAAGCGCTGGTCGTCGGGGGCAACGAGGTCGCAAGCGCAGGGGGGGTCTTCCAGCTGGTCTTTGAGTGCTGGCGCGAGGGGCTGGGCCTTGGGGATGAGGGGCGGGGTCTGGTCTTGAATGCCTACATAATTAGTCATGTTAGCCCCTCGTCCGTTGTTAAACAACTATAACTGCGTACGATTCCAATCGATCGACTGGAAAAATGGATGGGCTTTGATCGCGCCGTTGGATTTCAATCGCGTGCGCACGTTCTAACACGATGGACTCACATGGAGAAAAAAGATAAGGACATAGTAATTGTACTTTGTCTAGCAGGAGAAACAACAAGTCGCGGCACGCGGGGGACACGGTGGGGGTGTACGGCAACACAAGATCGTCATGCAGGATGTTTTGCCTCGTATCCTCCTATACATTGCATGACTCATGGGTGTTGGACTGTAGATCGTACGTCGTTGTCGCCTTGGAACGGGGTTTTGGCAAAGAGCATCTGATACAAGAGGACGCCGAACGCCCACCAGTCGCTGGCAGGCACAACGACGTGGGAGGGGGACGCGAGGGCCTCGGGCGCGGCGTACTCCACGGTGGCGAGGGATTTGCGCTGGGGAGCGCTGCTGGGGAACGAGTGGAAGGAGATGGGCATGATCGTGTCCAATGGCGACACGTGGTTGTGGTTATTCCAGCAACCGTTGAGGCACCTCGCGAGGCAGTCCCATGGACGCCGTCGACGCCGCCGCCCGGGGGGCGATGCGGTGGCCCCGCGCTCCATCGGATTGACCATCGAACTCGAGTCAAAGTCGCATAGAACGATGTGGCCATTGGATCGCAGTAGAATGTTCTTGGGCTTGAGATCTACTAGTATATTAGTGCGGTTGAGAGGAGGTGAATAGGGAACTCCCAACCGTCGTACAGCACGCCCATCATGTGCAAGTACTCGAGCACCACAAGCACTTCTGCAGCGTAAAACCGAGCCACGTGTTCGGGCAGGAAGCCGTGCGTTTGTGCCCGAATCGTTTGATGCAAATGCCCGCCTTCGCAATGCTAGGCCAATATTGGGCTGACAAGAATTCCATGGCTGTGACGGATGTGTATTGTTGTACCTGCAAAACCATGTACAAAAACCTCTTGGTCTGAAACGCGTAGTACAGCTTGACAATGAACGGATGGTCTGCAATAGCCAGCACCTCTCGCTCTGTCATCGTTCGATGGACCTACTCCCTTTCGACATGACGACACTTCCGACAGTAACAGGATATCTATACCAGCCGTACCCGATCGTGCCGGACAGAGTCCGACTTGCTAATTACCTTCATGGCAAAGTGTCCTGTTAAGGCCAGTCCCTACGCCGATGCAACGTCGGCTCGGATGGTTCGAGGAAATCACATGGCTCTTACCTTTGCCTTCACAAGGTAGACGCGCCCATGTGTGCCCAAACCCAAGAGCCGAATCTTCACAAAGTTGTGCAGACCCACTTCAGGAGTTGAGTTGAGCTTGGTGGATGTTGTCGAGGCCAGCATTTCTCCTACCAGCTTGGCGGAAACCAGGTTCCTGTCTACTTGCATGCATTGTAGCCGCCAAGCGGTTACACCCGTTTCACATCCGTGTTCAAGGTGTTTCAAACGTTTCCAATGCATTTTAAACTATTTTGAAATGTTGCAACGCGCGACAGAAAACCGGTTTCATATTGGCGCGACAACATTTATCCGGATGACCGCCTTATTTCCCGCGTCCTGCGGAATCACATTTTGATTTGCAACATGAGCGACATCCGCAGCTTCTTCTCTAAGGACCGACCGGCCAAGCGCCGCGCTGCGAGCGACATCGAAGCGCCAACAAAGAAAGCAAAAGCGAGCTCATCGCCCCCAGTCGACCCAGTGTCATCGCCGGAGTCGTCGTCGACGACGCTGTCGGCGCTGGTCACAGAGCCAACGTGGAACGACCTGCTTGCTCCAGAGTTCAAGAAAGCGTACTTCAAGCAGTTGGAAGCTTTCCTCGACCGAGAACAAAAGTACGTGCAGACCAAGCCCGTCCCTATGCTCAGTATGACACGTTCGTGTAGAAAGAAAGCAGCCATCTTTCCGCCGAGGCATGAGATCTTTGCAGCCCTCAACTTGTGCCCCTTTGATTCCATCAACGTCGTGATCATAGGGCAGGATCCCTACCACGGCCCTGGCCAGGTACCTCGATGGCCACGATTAGTATGTACTTAACACACATCCGTAGGCCCATGGATTGTGTTTTTCTGTGGCGCGAGGGGTGCCGCCGCCTCCAAGCCTCAAAAACATCTACAAGGAAGCCAACAAAGACGTGGGCATCCCTGTGCCCACGCATGGGAGCTTACTGTCATGGTGCCGCCAAGGCGTGCTCATGCTCAACGCCGTGCTCACCGTGAGGGCGACCGAAGCCAATTCGCACAAGAAGCAAGGCTGGGAGACGTTCACGGACGCCGTCATTCGCCTCGTAAACGACCAGGCCGATCACGTTGTGTTTTTGCTGTGGGGCAAACCTGCCCAGGTAATATATATATATATATTATATATATCCTTTTCTACTCTGTACAGTCAACTTATGGCGTAGGAAAAAGGCGCGCTCATCTCGCGCACCAAGCACTGCGTTCTCACCAGCTCCCATCCGTCGCCCCTGGGAGCCACCAAGACGGCGGAGCCGTTCATTGGCTCCAAGTGTTTTTCCAAGGCCAATGCGTACCTGGCTTCCCACAACAAGCCCGAGATCGACTGGACATTGTAATATATATATACTACTACTACTAGTATATATTAAGAGTATATTATACCCCTCCAACGACAATGCGTTCGGGGACCACGTCTTGCCGATCCCACGGACACTGGACGGCCGCAGAGTCGGCGATGGCGGTGGAGGAGGGGCGGTGGGCCAACTTGGCCCAGCACTTGTCACAGACGCTGTGGAGGCACGGCTGCAGCACTAGACAGGGGGTCACACATCCACACTCGAATAAATACGATAGAACCACGGCGTACCCACGGTACACGACGCGCCAAAGCATAAATTACACAAGTCCATGTTGTCATCGTCGTCAGTTGTAGCTGTTGGGGTGCGCCGCCTCGCACTGGGAGACGATGGGTCAGCTACGCGAGTACGTACCCGTCAGAGTAGATTCTCAAAAGTCGGGAGGTAAGACTGTACCAGGGATACTCGTGGTGGTGGACACCCGTTTTCGCTTCTTCTTGTTGTTGGCGTCATGGTTTTCCTTTAGTTCGTCCAGCGGGGCCGGCACCATGCTCCGTCGCCGCGACGAAGCCGGTTGTTTCGATGGCTTGGTCTTGGCGGCCTTGGCGGCACTGGTGAGCACGTCCATGCTCTGTCCGTACGCCGCCTACATCAACACCGCCATCAACATCTCACGGGCATATGCCAAATGAGTACAATACGCGAATCAGGTCCACTTGTGCAAAGTGCAGTTGGGTCAGCCGGGCAAACTCGTTCCAAAGGTCAGCTTGAGACTGCTGCATCTCGACCATCCGAGCCTCTCGTTCCCGCTCCGCTTCAAGTCTGGCCTCGCCAGTGAGGGCTGCGGGCACCGGGGGCAACTCTGCATACTGTCATCAGTCCTATTCAATGCAGCCAGTCTATGCTGTTGGTACCAAATTGACGGGCGGGGCGAAAGGACGCATCGAGGATGACACTCTGTCGCAGGGTGGTTGCCGTTGGACGACGCAGCAAGATCGTCGACGATGGCGGCGCCATGATGTGCTGCCGGTACCGCCTTTCATACGCTTTGACCGGCAAGGGCTCGTTCGAGGCAGTGTCGTGATACACCAAGTCGTCGTCTTCGTTCTTGGAGCACCGGACGCGCATGAGATCATCGAGGCGGTCGTCGTTGAGTTTCCACGCTCGTTTCATTCGGGTCATGATGTGGGTTAGCGTCGATACTTGGGCTTGCCTATCGCATTGTGCATGTATAGATAGCCTCCTATTGACAGAATGGGGGGGGGGTGTAGCTACCGGTAGACCTTGTCGTCCAAAAAGGACGGCGACGTCTTGGAGGTGGGGCCGATGGGGTACTTGTACACTTGGTGAATCTGTGCACGTGAACATGAGTACGAAATAGGGCGATTGTACGTACATGGACTGCCAATGCGATCGCTTGGTCCGACGTTGCGTCCATCGACAAGTACGTTCGGATCAGCGTGTTTCGCTGGGTTGTATCGACACCCACGGACTTGGTGCGCACTGGACTTGGCAGTGGGATGTTGGGCCCAGTGGTGGTGGCTGGAGAAGTTGTGAAGCCACGACTGCCGGCTTCGGTAGTAGGGGAGATTGGCTGCGGATGTTGCAGTGGAGCATCTAGCAAGGCCACGTCGGGGTGGTTTACTGCATGGGCGACGGTGCTAACGGTAGCCAGTGGTGGCGCCGCCTTTAAGGCGAGGAGCGCCTCCTTCAAGAGATTCCACAAGTCGTCGCGCTTGGAGGTCTTATAATACGGCCCAGGCATGAACGAGAATTCAAACGTGATGTCCAGCACGGCCATGGAGATGGACAGTGCCAGCATTACGTTCTGAACTTTTGTGGGCAGGACGTCGTGGATGTGTTCGAGGCCGATGCGAAGGCTGAAGCGATCCGAGCCATACACCTGGCCAGACGACGTCTGCATCGTGTCGGAGTGCCGCATGGGGCGCCAAACAAGCTCGTTGCCATTGAGATACAAGTCCCCCAACGCATGCGTCCGTGAATTTGAGTCCATGCACACTCTAATCGACGACGACTCGGCCGTTGTCGATGGGGGCGGAAAGTTGAACGTCAAGAGCTTGCCATTCTGCTTGATCTTTAAGCCAATATGCCGCCCATGGAACAGAGATTCATTGGACGTCATGTCGTCTTCGGGGACAAAGAAGCCGTTATCAAGCAAATGCGTGCCAACTAGGATGGCCGATTGCGACGACACGTCGGCGCTTCCAGGGGTGGATTCTCCAGCATCCTCAGTTCCATGGGGATGCTCGCTGCATGCGGTAGCAGGATGGGAGAAGATCTCGTCGTACGAACCGAAGCTATAGCAGTCGTCGTCTTCCATGATGGTTTCTTCGTGCAAACACACAAGGCGGGCGCCAATACTGGTCGAGTATACGGATAAAGGATTTGAACTTCTGAATTATCCGGATGAACGGAGCCAGAGCCACGGCCGTCGCAGCGACACGGTTAGAGCGGACTCGGCAGTTAGATGCTTCGAAAGGGTGAAGGCAGTTGGTACAGACTGCGAGTGTAGTTAAAATACTGAATTGACATGTGGTATACTCTCTATCATCAAGACTACTTCTTGGTGGCCGACCCTTTCTTGGCCGGGCTCTTCTTTGCTGGGGGTGTGACGGTCTTCTTTGCCTCTGCCTTCACGGGGGTTTCCTTCTTGGTGGGAGTTGCCGCCTTCTTAGCCGGGCTAGCCTTGACAGGGGTCGCCTTCTTCGCAGCGGGACTCGCTTTGGCTGGTGCTGCGGCGTCCTTCACTGGAGTCGCTTCTTTCTTAGCCGGGCTGGCCTTGACAGGGGTCGCCTTCTTCGCAGAGGGACTCGCTTTGGCTTGTGCTGCGGCGTCCTTCACTGGAGTCGCTTCTTTCTTGGCGGGGCTGGCCTTGACAGGGGTCGCCTTCTTCGCAGCGGGACTCGCCTTGGTCACTTCAGCTTTGTTTTCTGGTTTCGTCGACTGCTTGGCCACTTCCTTCTTGGCTTCTGTGGCCTTCTTGACGGCAGCAGGGGTGGCTTTGGCTACTTCTTTTTTGGTAACCGACGGTACGGTGTTGTCAACAGACGTGACAGCAGCCGTGATCTCGACCGTCTTGGCCTTCTTGGCCGGTAAAGGGGTATGGGTTGAGTCTTCCGCCTTTCGCTTCTTGTCTTCCACGGGCAGTTTGGACGAGTTGGGCAGGGCGTTATAGATGGGCAATGCGACGGAATCGGACGTCTACCCAGCAACAACATGTTGACATCGTACTCCTTCACAAATGCCAGAACACGATCAGGTATATGTATGTACCTTGATGTTGATGGACTTGGTGTTCTTCCAGCCCTTGGGCACATGAGCCAAGATGTTCTTTGTGCCTTGGATGATGTTGTCGACAATGTCGGCGGTGTCCATGCCGTCGTGCGCGATCTTGACGTTGAAGCACGGTCCAGGAGACAAGAACATCTCGGTGCCGCCCAGCACGCGGCGGATGTGCGTGCTGATGTTCTTCTTGCCCGTGACGTTGACGGTCGTGGGCTGCTTCTTGGCGTCGAAAAATGTCTTGCCTACCAGCGATTTGACGTACGGCAGCACGCGATCGTCCACGAGGAACACGCCGTACGCAGCCTTTAACTCGCGCTTGTCTTTGAATTGGGAGTAGTTCTTCTTGAGCTTTTTAATTGTCATGACTTTGGTGAGGCCGGCGACGGGGTCGTCTTTCAAATGGGCCTTGATGCGGTCCTTGTCGGAATCCTTCACGAACAAACAAGCCTCGCCATCGCCACGGATGTTGTGTGGCAGTTTGCTAAGAACGTCGTCACATATTGTGGGAGGTTATATACATGTGAGTACGTCGTACATGGGGATCGCCTTGAGGGACTCATTTCGGGGCACGGTGATGCGGGTGAAAATGATCTGGATGGTCTTGTTCTCGTCGACCAGCGCCTGCTTAGACTTTTGCGCCTGCTTCTTCTTGAGGAATTGCTTTAACGCAACGACTGCCTTGGTCACTTGTTCCGTATCGAGTTGCTCCATCTTGGCTTGGGCTGGTGGTTGAAGCTGAAAATGGGCCTTTTTGTGATGGCCCCAGGGATTGAGTGGTTGGTTGGCGCAATGGAGAAATCAGCCAATCAAACAAAATCCTTTTGGGCTTTGGACGAATCACAGATGAGATGACCAATGGCTGTAACTGGAGGTATCCGGATAACAGAGATTTCTAACATGAAACGGCACCATGACGTTTACAATTTCACAAATGGAGGTGTCCAACTACAGACAAAACCGGCATTATATTGTGTTTACCACAGTCGTTGCGATGGATTTGGGCGTTATATGTGCGAATATAGTTGCAGTGCTGTTTGCATGCGGTACAAAATAGGATTTGGAGAATTGGTCGTCATTTTGTCGTGCCTTTGAGCACACAGCAAAAAGGCGATCGTTAGAAGGTCACTTTACATACTAAGGGATATATATGTTCATGCAAGAATCGCAACTGTTGCAGGGATCCAATTGTGCAATGCAATTTAAAGTAGCGGTAAAATATACTGATACATTTTCTCGTACTTCGAAGTACAGTACATACATATATATGTATAGTACATGAACATATACGTATAGTACATGCATAGCACCCCGAAGCGTTGCCAAACAACATCTATTCACGTAAATGTTCACCGGTGAGATATTGTGGCACAAATGTCGGCAGGACGGACATTCATCGATGTGTTCTACTGTACGGATGCATGTAAATCGACATAAAAACGTCACGGTCGCAATACAGTACTACATTCGTGTTCACCAGCACCCATTCAAACAACTCGGGATCACTTGCAAAGCCTTTCAAGTATACTTGGTAGTTCTAGTACTCCGGAGTACTACGTAACGTTCGTAAGTCACAGTCGGAGTGTGTGAATCCTCAGAGATTTTGCCTCGATTACGAAGTCCGTGGCAACCTTCAAAGTCTGCTGACCAGAAGGGTGCTACTGTACGTGCAGGAAATTCAGCCAATAGAAGCTCCTGCCTTTGGATAAAGAAAGGACATCAAATAACCGTTTTTCATTTATGTAACTCGAAGTATAAAACATACTAACTTACTAGAAGAGTATTCAATTATTCTGGGTGGCCCCGAAGGTGGAAGAGTAAAATGTACGACATTGCCTTATATATACTTCGAGGTACTCATTTAACAGTAAACTGCAAATTGACTTCCAGGACTTCAACTTACTGGTAACTCCATATGTGTTTACCGACCGGCCTTCTCTTCGACGTCGATCTTGATGTCATATCGTGAAGTTGAATTTATGTACAATTCCCTCATTAACACAGTTCCACTGTTGTTTTCTCAGAAAACTCTACATCTGGAGGGTTTAGTGGAAATTTGTATACTCGGGACCACCTCACCTTTTACTGGGGTAAAGTGCATCTCAGTGGTTAGCTATCGCCAACCACTGAGATGCGATGCAGTTCACCCTGGGGATGTAGATTTCGTATGTACTCATGGGGGGTGGGTGGGTGGGACGGACGGAGTCCCAGGTTTCAGGGCTACGGCGAAAAAGTATATCCGGATGTGATGATTAACATTATGGGTTAGCCAGGTGAGGGAATTATTCTGTAGTTTTCAGTCAAACAGCAAAACGTACTGTAGTAAGAGGCGGCGTCGGTGGTGACTCGAGCACAAAACGCCCATCCATGCCAAGTCTACACCATGTCTGAGCCGCTGGCTAAGCAGTGTATGATTGTTTGGAAACGAAACGACGCGAGACCACTTGTGTCATTGATAGCGGTCGAGAAAGTACATACCTCGCGGGAAGCGTGGGATGAGCACTTGGTTCGTTATCCCGTTCAATTACTCACCTCGTACGCGTCACTCACCGGGCCTCCACCCATACTTGCTGTTGTCGTACACGCATAAATAGATCAAGGTGAATCCGGCATTTGATAATATTCCCCGTTGATCTGTCAATGGAGCATATTTGAACCCAGCTCAGCACTGACTGCCATCTGGTCCCTTCTGCAACTGTATAGAAACTTCGAATTCCCTACGATCGCATGTGTCTTGATTCCGAGTCTTTGATTAGTCCAAACGAGCGTTCCTACCTACGCTTCTAGTCATCCACAACTCGAACCTTCTTGGGCGATTTGTACAACCATTTGCGGGCCTTTAGTGGTGTTTGGGGGCCCCGTTTGTCGTTGTCTTGAACAATGTATGGTGGAAGATGGCGACTGCAACGGGAGAGGAAAAATCTGATCCAACTGTGCGAAATGGCGTTTCTAAAACAATACCCGCCCGTTTGCAATGAATTGGATTCGAAATACAACGCGGCGTTTACAATCGTCTTGGGTTTTGTATGGAGCGACCAGAATTTACACCAAGTCGGAATATTAATACTCGGCCCTCGAGGTATATTAATATTCGAGTGTTTCTCCCACTGTGATCGAAGAAACATCTTGGGGTTTGTATACAGCTGACTCACCGTTGGATTCGCTGGAGTGGCATGGTTGCTGAGAATCCTCATTTTTTGTTTTGGACGCCGAGGAGTTGGACGAGGTCCCACGTCCCCGTTTGAACGAGTCCATCTCTCGCAATGACCACAGGATTGACCCTTCAGCACCTCTACACCCAGCAGTACGCGCAGCAGCAACCTCCTCCTACGTCTGCCACCCCTTTGACTTCCATGTCGTCATCGCACAATCCGGCGGGCGGAAGCAACCTGTCCATTCATCACTCAGCGGGTCAAGTGCACCAACGACAAACGTCGCCCCACAACAACAACGCCGCCATGCACAAACCATTGCAAGGACAACACATCCCCTCGCACCATAATAGCCACCACCACCACATGCCCACTAACCAGGCCTCCCAACATCACGGTGGCCACAACAGCGGTGACGACTTTGCCGCCGACCCGCTGCCGTTCAACTACGACGTCATGGAAGCGACGTTTGACGACCGTTATGGTGGGCGAAACAACAACGGAGGCAACGTTCGCACGCACGCCCCGCCGTCGTCCAACGACAAGCCGCACCACCTCCCTTCGCAACATCCGCAGCAACAGCAGCATCCCAGTCGATACGGCAGTCTCGGTATGCAGCACCAGCAACCCCAACAACAACAACAACCGTACCATGACTCGTACAACGAATCTGCCCCAACCAGTCATCATCAGTACGACGTCCGCCGGTCCGAACCTCACAACGTACCCATGAACGATCGGCCGTCGAACAAAACGGACTCTTATCATTTCATGTCCCAACATGCTTCGCACCCCAACGACCACGACGCCTCCGCCCGCCCTCCGTCGTCGCTGCATTACTCGATCCCAGACTTGCACTCCAACATGAGCAGCGGCCACAACGGCAACAACAACCTGCAGGCGCTGTACCACCAGTCGACCCCTGGGTACTCGACCAACGCTTCGCTTCCACCGTCGTCGGCGCAGCATTCGCCGTACTCGACCCTCATGGAGTCGCATCAATCGAGCATCAACAACAGCAAGAAGGAGATGCCGCCCACGTACCACGGCGACTACTTGGACGCTCGCCCGAGCCATGCGCCATCATCCAGTCACATGTCGACGTCGTTGGCGTCGGCGCAGTCACCGCAGGAAGCCGTGATCAAGGTGAAGACGTCGCTCAAGAACAAGTACTGGCGCAACGGCCGTCGCAACCTGCAGTGTTTTCCATCTTGCAAAGTGTTTGGCGATTACTCCCAGATCAAGATTGAAGACCTCAAGCAACACGACTTTATGTGGGGCAAGTGCCGCGGCAGTTTGATTGCAGAAGTCACGCTCAACTCGAACGCGACCTTTGACGACATCCTGCTCCTCGGGCGTGTCCACTCGCTAGAGAACATTCCCGTGCCGTTTGACGAAGCCGTGATCCGCGAGTGCATGATCGGCCGCGTGGTCGAGCCGGACGTGATGGACGAGATGAAGGAGCAGTGGATCCAGGGCGAGCGGCTTCCCGACTTTATCAATCCCAGCCAGAGCGTCACGTGCTACGAATTCAAGCCCAAGGTGTGGAAGTACACGGACGACATGGTCCACGGCAAGTGCAAGCGCCGCAACGTGCGCTACTACGTGCAGTTTGAAGCGTTTGTGCCCGTGCTGTCGGGGGACCGCCGGTGCTTTGTGTGCATTGGGTCGGGCATGTCGTCGTCGTTCGAAGTCGGGTCGTCCCGCGTCCTCGCGCGCCAAAAGCGCAAGTCGAAAACTGGCGGCGACGAGGACGAGGACGAGAAGGACTCGAACGAAGAATATGACCAGAACGATGCGGGCAACAGCCGTCGACCTGCAAAGCGAGCCACCAACCCCGCCAATGGGTACCCCATCTAGGGAGTGAACTGGACAAGCACGTAGCTAGCTAGGATTGCGGAGGCTGTCAGTATGTCGTAATAGTGTGTCTGTTGTGATAATGTGGGTTGCTGTTTGAAATTCTTGCCTGTGATTGGTTCTTTCTAATGGAGGTTGTTCATTGGCTCGGAACCAACCAATCACATTGCGGAGATGGCGTATCCATTCCGAAGCGGCACATTGCCGTCGGCAAAATGCAATCCCGAACCTCTAGCAAGCCAGAAACGAATGACCGTCGGTATATGATGACACTACAAGCTGTTTCTGCACACAATGGAGCTTATAGGAGGACCATATCACTGGAAGCCGCGCTAGACACGTCGGAGCGATTGATGCAATGGGGACATCGAGCACGCCTCAAGCAGCAGCAAGTTGCCAACGAGCAAGACGACAACACGCTCGTACATCCGCGACTTGCCCAGCGTCTGTCGAAATGCCAGATTGCCGCCGCCGCGGAGCGTCTCTCGTTTCAGTGGCGCGATGCGTCAGCCTCTCGATCGGGGCCAGACGTCGCGGAACCCAAGGATGACGACATGCGGGAGTGCACGTTTCGTCCCCAACTCGTTGCCAAAATGGAGTCGTGGGTCACGTGTAGATACCAGTACCCTCCGACTATACCCCGACCTCGAGTTATCCCAAGGTAGAGTCTACATTCACACACACACGCACCAAACGCACTGACGGATGCGATACATGCTACTACGACACTGTAGCGTCCATCGCCCCTTTGTCCCTCGAATCAAGCCCTTTCCCATTCAAAACGAAGAAAAAGATGTTCACGTGCGGCTGTATCAAGATCATATTCGCCAACAAGACAAACGCTCGGTGACTTCACAATTGCATGACCACGAGATAACATATTGAATATCGTAGACATTCGAGATGGAGCGCCATCGAAAGCCTCGACCGACCAAAGTCGTCGACGCCGAAGGCATTCAAGTGTTCTTGGCTCGACAAGCAACCTACGAAGCCACTCGGCAGGTAGTCATCTATCGGTTGACCCTTGTCTTCCTCATACAAATGCCCGTCGTTTGATAGCGCCACATTGAGCAGCGCAGCGGTGACGACCCCGAATGCAAGTTTACCCCACAGTTGGATGAGCACTCGAGACACCTGTGCGCCTCTGGACGGTACCCATACATTATCAAACCTTGATTCAAGTGTGGTTCGTTAGAGCGTTGGACGCAAGGATGCGCAAAGCTCACGAGCGCCGTCATTCGAAGCTGCAGCATGTGCTTGCATGCATGCCCTCAAAGCCTAGGCCGAAACCACGCAAGACGATCGACGACCTTGGGCCTCGGCTAGTGGAACTGAGTCGGCCCAAATCAGTTGCCGCCGCCGTACCAGACGACTTTCAGCCGCACGTCGAGGCCAAACGAGCTCCAACGATCGATCTCTACGACGCCCAAGTGTTTTACGCTAAACAACAAACCAGTCTCCAGGTAGTACCCCCCCACCCGCCCCTTTGCACGTATACTAGATGGTCCTATAACTGTTTGTAGCTGAAAAAAGAACGCCTGCTGCGCCACACATTTGAATCTCTCTTGGACGATTATAGGTCCATGGATCCTCCTCGTCATGCCACTGACAAGTCGTCGCGTCGGCTGCCTTCGTTGTCTACTCGAGGGGGGAGCAAGGCAGCGCCCCCTGCATAACGCGAACCAATGAGTTGCCTGATCCGGCCAATCGTTGCGATATCCGACTCGGCATCATGCAGTTGGCGCCCTTGCATGACGACCTCAAGCGAGAGTTTCACCAGCTCAAAACTACAATGTTGATGGGAAGTGTGCGGATAGAGGTTGGTAGTAGTAATTAATACACGTAACCCGACCTGTGGTTCAACAACACGTTGGCTTTTGGATGTCGCAGTATAAGCTCGAGTAAACGCAATTCCGCAGCGATGTTCGCAGATGTGTTGTTGGGTTGAAGCACTTGGAGCAGAGATCGCAGGTGCCGAGGACGGAGGAGTCGAGCGACTGCCGAAGGCGTTTGGCCCGCCAAGCGATTCAAAAGCTTGAGTGCGCAGTGCTTCACACAAGGGGAAACCATTGGCAGCATGGACATGAGGGTCTCCACGACGCCAATTGCTACCATCGTTTTACATCCGTCGGGGCCATAACTCCAATGAAACATGGTCTGCACAGCGACAAGCGACAGCAAGTCACCCTAGTCATGTCCTTTTAGTAGACTTCATCATACACCACGGAACGACTTGCGTACCTCGACCACAACACGAAGCATAACATCCAATGCCGTAGGGTGATCGGCGTGCAACCGGCGGGCCAGAGCTCGCGAATCTCTAACAGTTGACGCCACATGATTGCAGATTATTTACGACCAACCTACTCGATGCATGGACAACTTAAGAAACGTCGGTTGATGCGCTGGAGATGGACCAATACGAGTGGCGAGGGACAGGAAGCCTCGACCACCTTGGCGACAAGGCTAGATGTCGCTTGTACCACCTGGGCAATTGTAAATGAACTCTTGTGTCTTATAGAGCGATGATACCTGATTGAGCTGTACAGTCGACCAGCATGCTTTGCGGGCGGCCCATTCGTCCCGCGAGAAATCAAATTTCAACGCTGGAAGGTGGGGGTCGAAGAAACCCAAGCCCATGGTAATGTCACCTACTTGTATTCGCTTCATCCAGAAAAGTATGTAACCGCCACGGCCAGTTACATCGGTTTCAACTTATTCGTCTCAAGCTCCTCATGGCACCTTGACTAACATCACTTACTGTTAGTTGCGTTCATTGATATATGTCCATGTTGAAAACATTGCTGGCATGTTGCCTTGGTTCGTTTCTGTACGTGCGCTACTGTTAGAAATCCGGATAACTGTGATACAGCGAGTACATTACTACTGTACCGGTACCAGTCCTACTAAACTAGGCCCACACCGATCGCATCGCCATCCTTCAAGTCAACCTCTCCCGTCACCAACGCCTCAACGTCATCACGGCCAACGCCCCTCACATGGGCGCCCACCATCCGAAGCACACGACTTCTACGACTCACTCCGCGCCGCTACCCGCCTCGTCCTCGAACACAACCCACAGCTGGCGCGATCCTGAACGGACACCGAACTTGATCCACGGACGCGAACTCGTCAAAGGCAAATATAGCCAGTCTCTAGACTAACTAGTTAGTTAGCCTGATTGAGCTACGCGGAACCGTAAATTCCTTCCTTCCTACTGTACCGGTAACGCTAGTATGTATTTACAGTCATATTCCGTTTGAACTATTAATAGCCCACGGCATCCTTAAGCCATGTTTATTTGCAACATTTTATAGTCGATACCACAACGAAAATGATTGCATCCGCCCGTCCATCGAGTGCATAATTAGCCCGCGCCAGTCGTCCCCTGCCAACAACCCTCGGGCATTTTCAGTCGATCCAAATCGATCTCCCCTCACACAACACTCGTCCACAGTAAAGAGCCCGGAGTTTTGGCAGCTCCACGGCCGAACCTTACCTCTCTCTCCGACCCATTTCCTCCACTCCAGCGTCTCCCAAGACTCGAGGGACCAAAAAACCACGACAGTGACAGTAACAGAAATCCAACCTTATCTCTCCACCTCCGATGATTGTTTCAGTTCCGCCATTCCACAGAGTAACAGGTTTCTTGATACCCCATTGCTGTTGTCAGGGGGTATTTGTGTCCGCATAGGAAGTCCGAAATCCTCCACGATGTCATCGAGGGCGTCCGGCTGTGCATCGCCCCCAGTTTGCCCCGCCGTGGCAACGTCGCGGTAAATGGTCGGTGGATGTCAATGTGGCCGCCAAGACGCGAGCGGTGGTGAAGTGTATTGATGATGGCACGGAAGAGATGGCCAACACGGCAGACCTCGTCGGCCGTTCGTTCCTGTAAAACGCAAGTCCAAACATGAACACGTCATCCATTCGTTCCTGTAGATATATGTTTGAGATGCAGCACGACATCGCAAACTATAGCTTCATATGTATACGGGTAAGCGCCGCTGGAGCAACAGCAACAACTGTACTATGCAAGCATTTGTGGCCGTGGCGCAGGACGATTCCACGCCCCAGCTACGCAAGGGCAAGATCCATCAACGTCAAGAAAAGCTCAGCAGCAACAAAGCCGAAGTGCCTGGAAATGGAGGTTCCCTTCGCAAGGGGTGTTCCACCTTGAACCCGGCCCACCGACCGTTTATAACTCGTGTTGGCGACAATGTGCATTAGGATGACGTTGCCAATGCGTGGCAAACTGGGGACGACGCACAGCCGGACGCCCTCGATGTCGTCGTGGAGGATTCCTGACTTCCCATGCATCGATTCCATGTCGAAGGAAACTCCCCCGTGTCCAACAGACGCCGCGCCACGAAAGGTTTGCACCAGGTCAGAGGACCCGTAGAGAGTTTCAAAGTCAGCACCTTCTGTCCGAAAATGTTTGCATGAATCAAAGATTTCGAACATGAAGTTGTTTGATCTAACTGTAAAGTATTCGCACCAAACGTCCAACCAATGAAAAAGCTGTGACGAAAACCAACTCGAATACTTTATTTCATACAACATGGACATTTCAGTGTATCCGGACACCCGGATACGGATAAATCCGTACTATCCGTATGTTTTGACACGAATATTTGGGAATTTGAATTTCCGACTTGCTAAGAGCATCCATCTCCAACGGTGGTTTTTATTGCTAAAAATATAAATATGTACCCCCAATGGATGTTTCTATTTCTATATAATAGCCGGGAGTTTCTATTTGGGCTGAAAATAGAAACCCCCACCAGTCATTTCTATTTCACTTGCCATGGGCAAAGGCATCAAATGGACAACGAATGAAGACAACCAGCTCGCCCGTTCGTGGGTGTGCACGTCGGAGGACCCCATCAAAGGCGCCGACCAGACGACGGACTCCTTTTGGGCCAACGTGCATGGGCACTGGTCATCCGCTGCAGGAGGAGAAGCACGATCGACACAAGCAATGAAGAACCGGTGGTCGATTTAGAACCGGTCGACGCAGAAGTTCTCTGGCTACTATGCCCAAGTCAAAGGACGTAAGGAGAGCGGAAAGACCGACGAAGATGCGATGCAGGACGCTCATTCTCTACATCTCTCGTTAGAGCACGAGGTTTTTCAGCATGAGGGTGTGTGGCGTACGTTGAGCTCGAGTCCAAAGTGGCGCGTGTTGCCACCGAGCAAGAAATTGGCGCAGCTTGCTGAATCGTTTGATGCGAGCGATGAAGTTGGCGACGGTGGCCCTACTCGCCCAGTTGGTTGCAAAATGGCGAAGCGCAAGGCGTTGGAGGAGACATCGGTGGACCTAAAGCTGCAAGATCTCGTGCGCGTGCAGGAGGACAAGAATCGACTCTTCGCAGACTATATGTTGCTCCAAATGTTGTTGAACTCAACCTCTCCTCAAGATGTCGCCACCTTGTCTCAACTAAAAGCTGATTATGTCTCAAACCGCAGTCGCACAGATCAACCAAGTACTGAGTAACTATAATACTATACTAGTTATATTAGTAGTTAACTATCGTGATGATTTATCAAACACACATATTGCAAGGACTGTGTATATTCAAGTGTTTACTTGTACAAGTAGTAACCTCAACAACTAGTTAGTCGGACCTAGACCTTTTTCCTGCCACAGGTGCTCAATTATATCGTTTCGCAATTCATTATGCCCGAATGCATCTCGAACTCGCGCCATATTCGTGGCCAAGGAGGATACTTCGCATGGCACGAACGGCACTGTTCCTTCGGGACGTTGCGGAATTTCCTCACTGTCGTCATTCGCCCTGTCATGCTCAATGACCATGTTGTGCATGATAATGCACGCTTTCATGATGGTGCCCATGTCTCGTTGAAACTAAAGCTTGCACGGCTTGGCCAGAATGTGCCACCGACCTTGCAAGACGCCAAATGCTCTTTCGACGTCTTTACGACAGGCTTCTTGGACACGCGTAAAGTACTGCTTCTTCGCTGTGTCGGGGGACGAGAGCGTCTTGACAAACACAGTCCAGTCAGGGTAAATCCCATCCACCAAGTAGTACGGGGTCGTCCGGCTAGTCCCGTTGATTTCGTAAGCAGAGCACATTGCCTTACCGTTGTACAGATCTTGGAAGATAGGAGACCGAGCAAGGATGTTAATGTCGTTGCAGCTTCCAACACAACCGAAGAAGCAATGCCAAATCCAAAGGTCCTGAGTGGCAACCGCCTCCAACACAAGTGATGGCTTGCCATCCTTTCCAGTAATTTGACCCGCCCATGCGCGGGGGCACTTCTCCCAGAACCAATGCATGCAATCCAGTGAGCACAGCATGCCTGGCAATCCGCGTGCGGCATTCGTGGCCAAAATACTTGACATATCATCGTCATTTGGCGTGCGAAGGTACTCGGACTCGTACGTTGTCACAATCGCCATAGCAAAGCGTTTCATGCAGGCCATGGCTGTTGATTCCGCTAACCGGCAGTATTCGTTGGTTGCGTCTGCGGCGATGCCATACGCGAGCATTCGTAGCGCAGCTGTAGTTTTCTGCTCCTTGGTAGCGCCACGTTTGCCCGCAGCATCTCGTTGCTGGAGGAACCAAGGGTCGGTCGTCGCTACTTCGCAACAGATGCGATTGAACAGCGTCTTTGGTACTCGAAAACGGCGACGGAAGAGCTCGTCGTTGTACATTGGGTTTGGGCCAAGGTAGTCTCGCATAAGATTTTTGTGTCCAAGTGTCGGTTGGCGTTTAATGTTAGCGGCGCGGCCGGGTTGTGAGCTTCGGAGGGTCAGTTTACGTAGCTCAGCTAGTATCAACGGGAGCGCGTCAGAGGATGCGTCATCGAGAAACCACTCGAGAATCGTTGGCTCCATGGGGACAAGTTGTCGACTGAAAACTGGAAATAAACGACGGAATAGAAACTGATTGGTGGGGTGGATAATTTTTAAGCCATTTGCTATTTTTATTTCGTGCTCTAATAAAAATACGTTAGCAATCACCGTTGGAGATGCTCTAAATCGCTCTATTAATTCGACCGCAATGCCATCCTCCAGCAGCTCTTGATCCGAATGGTCGACCACAACACTCTTGCGCACGGGTCGTGCGCCATGGTCGACTTCACCAATACCACTCGCCCTTGCTCGAATTTGCATCACGAATCAAAGGCCACAGCGGCAGAAACCTCAAGCACGAGTCTGTTACCGAGCGCCTCAAGAAGATTCCGAAGACCCAGCGTACAACATTCCGCTCGATCGCAGCCGCCATGAACATGTCGCGATCCACCCTTCACGACTACTACAAGTGCGACATCTTTGAAAAGAACACGAGCACAGTGTGCCCACTACTCACCGATGCGATCAAGGCAGTGCGCGTCCAGTAGGGCCATGAAGCATCTCCATGCGTTGTCGGCTGACCATTACGCCTTTGATGACACGATGAACTCCGTGCACGTCGACAAGAAGTGGTTCTTTGCGATCAAGATCAGCAGCAAGATGTACCTTGCTCCTGGTGATGAGCCCCCGCACCGCACATGCAAGTCCAAACGGATCCTCACCAAGGTGCTGTTTCTGTCCGCTGTGGCCCGACCTCGTTGGGTCGACGGCAAAATTGGCATATGACATTTTACGGAGTGAGTGCCTTTGGAACGATTCAGTCGGAACTGTGCCGCCGGGACCCTTGTGACCAAGCCCGTCTCTGTCACCCGCAAGATGCTGATCGACAACGTCATCCCTGCCATCAAGGCCAAGTGGCCAAAAATTCGTCAAGGTGCATCACAATCCAGCAAGACAATGCACGCCCACACGTCCCCCCACTGGACGCTCGTATCGTCGATCGGATGAGTGCGAGTTGAGCGTCGTGTACCAGCCACCGAATTCACCCGACATGAACGTGCTCGACTTGGGAATTTTTCGTGCCATCCAATCCCTCTAAGAGAAGAACAACTCAAGGCTCGTTGACGACATTATTCCTGCGACAGAGCGCATGTGGTAGGACGTCGAAATGCGGACTCTGGATTCGAACTTTGTGACTTTGCAGGCGTGTATGCAAGAGGTCATCAAGTGGCGGGTGACAACTGCTACAAACTCCCTCACATGCACAAGACCAAGCTCGCTGCGTTTGGAAGGTTGCCCGACGTAGTGCTGCCTGACCGCGAAGTTGTCGATGCTGGTATTTTGCTTGTGCAAAGTACCGACATGGAAGTGAAAGTGGAGGAATTAGCTGCAGAAAAATCTGCGGCACTGGACTCTCAAATTGAGCGACTGATGAGGTGGAAGAGGACTTGTTGGAAATCACATTTAATAAATAATAAGATATATTTTTATATTGACCTGAGGGACTTTTATATCTTATTTATTCCCCATAATACGGTTTTTACACGACCGGCATCCGGTTATAAGGTTTCGTGCACGACGAGCAAATTCCGTTTCCATCGAGAAACTATGAACCACTAAATACAAATATCAAGATATTTGAATTTGACGTGATATAAATCGAATTTGCACGACGCCCGTCAGGCTGTAAGCTAAGCATTTCTATTGGCTATAATGTGCAAAACCACAAAGGTGGTCAAACTCCATCCAGCCACGACGATTTGGAGATAGAAATGCCATGTGACTGATGGAACTTGTTTCAGTAACGTGATGTGGTGAAGTACAGTATATATACCGGTATGTATGTCGTTGAAATGACAGGTCGGTATGAATTTAGTAGTGTGCTCTGTAAATACTCTGGGTTTACAGTACTGATAATTTGGCAGAGAGTACATACTAACTAAACATCCACAGCACAGTTTTACGTTATTAATCTGCCCAGCTTGCAATTGACATTGTGAAACCAAACTATAGAAACCATGTCATGGACGGCTTGACTCCGAATTGAGATTTATATAGACGCACTGCCCAGACCCTAATCATGGCGAAATCGCAAGCTTTTTGGCGTGTTCGTGGTCGCAACGGTAGTACATCGAGCTCGATGTGTTGTGATAAGTTAACTTCATTTTCAACAATACTGCAACCATA